CCCATCAGATCCAAACAGACTTTCTGACACAGAAAATGGGTGCTGTATTTTACACATCATGTTTTTTAATGGTTTGAAATTGATTGTCACTTATGTTAACACAGCAATATATTGTTTTGTTTTTATTTGTTTTTTTCCTTTTTTCTTCATCAAACTTTTAATGGAAAATTTTCTCTCAAAATAAACATTATAGTTCATTTTATAGAGCATTTCAGAAGACTGTGATATTATTTATATATTGTCATCCTGCTTTATATTTTTGGGGGCAAAGCATCACTTCCAAGCAGGAGGACGTGTAAGGCCCTGAAACTGTATTTTCGACTTTTCTCTTATTGTGTTGTATTTATTGGATGTTTTGCTGTGATGCTTGAAGTTGGCTGCTAATCCACCATCATTACGCACGGTAATTAGAACAAACAAACTCTTACCTTAGGCCATAAATACTCCGCCATTTGGCTCGTTAGTGGTGTTGCAGGCTGACAGCTGACACGCTGGGAACCCGGGAGCAGCGGAGCATGCGCAAAAACATAAATTTCCTCGACAACGTGTTTCTGGAATAAGTGTCGGGAAATGCGCAAAAAAAAAAAAAGACTTCCTCACCTGACAGGGAGCGTTGGATATATGTCGCAGTGTGCACCGGGTGTTAGTGCAGGAGCGGGTTGTAGTTCTCCACTCTGCATTCAACATGAAGATGCCGCACATGTTGGAATTTCATTCTGGAGAAGGTGGTGGAGAGTCCCAGTGCAGCTGAGAGGTGGTTACCTTGAATATTTCCATTTTCTGCTACTTCTTACAGGTACTGTATTTGATTTGAGAGAGAAATATTGCACTTTTTTTTTTCTTTTACTCCACTTAATTCATGCAGCCTTTCAATATAAGCTGTTATATCAAACCCATAGCACAAGCTTATGAAATAACAAGTCATTATTAAGAGTTAAACTAGTTTTTTCACTTGCCCTTTACAAAAAGCAGCTTCAGATCTCTGTGAAACCAGACGGAATGAACACATTATGCCAATTTTAAAGTCTCCGCATGGGTTACCTCTCTGCTTTAGAAATGATTCCAGGATCCTGTTATTGGTTTTTAGAACTCTTAATGGTCTTGATCGACCTTTGAAACCCTCAAGTTTTCTGATAATGGCCTTTTATTTATATATAAAGTCAGAACAAATACTCACCGTGAGTAATCAGTGTGTTATTGTGGTCCACATTTATTTAATTTATTTTATCTATTGATTTATTGATGCATTTACGTCTATTTGATATTTCTTTTAACACCTCACTGTTTTGTTATTGTCCTATATTGCTGGTCAGAATTTGTTTGACTTTGAATCTTATGGTCTGTGTTTTTTCCTCACTGCAATTTTTTTGAAATTTGTTCGATTTCTTTAGGATGGTGTTTCCCCAGTCCTTCATTTATATCATAATCATTTACAGGGGATTGGAAGGTGGGAGGAAACTGTTTTTTTTTTTGTTCCTTGTCTAATTTTTCTCCCTTTCATTCTTTAAAGCACTTTAAGCTACATTATATTTCTATGAAAAGCGCTTTTTAAACAAAGTCAGATGGAATTGATTGATGAGTTTCTTTTAATTTGATTATAAAGACATTTCCCCTTCAAATATCCTTTAGTCAGTTTCATCTTAGAGAGAAACTTGTCCAATATTTTTTTTTTGGTTTTATGTAGCAGATGCTTTGTTTTTCATTTTTTGTGCCACATTAATCATCTCAAAATATCTGAGATTAATTGTGACCCTTTAAAAGGATCCAGATCCAAACATATAACTATAAAGAAAGAACTTTTCTTATAACAGAGTGATTTTCATTGCAGCACTTTTACTTAAGTAAAGAATCTGAATACTTCTTCAAGACACCTCCACATCTAACAAAGTCCTCCTGTGCACCAGCATGACAGGATTTACATGTTGTAAATATGTGACAATGCATCCCCATCTACTGCAACACAAGTACATTTATTGGAAAGGCTTTAGTTCACATTAAATGATCCCGCTTGTTCCTTTTTCTTCACAAATTCAGCTGTGTGAATCAAAGCGTTCTTGGCCTCAGTGTTAATCCACTGCCAATCAAGGGGACGAATCCTGTGTTTCCATGGCGATGCGAAAGGCTAGAGATGGCTAGTCTTTTAGAAAGGTGTAGTCACTGGTGAACTCTGTTTTCTTTGGCGTGTGCGTGGGCGAGCGGACGGTCAGGATTTAAAATACCAGCCCAGCCACAGGCGCGCCGCTGAGCGCCTTCTGTGACTGCTGCATGCCAAGTGACCACTGATGTTAACACACACATGCATCCACAGCGGAAATGAAGATTTACAGGTCCACATATGTGCCGCAGCAATTACCTTAACACAGATATGTCGTTTTCCTGCACTTTTACAACTCATTACCACAGTCCCTGGATTGATCCTCCTCTTTATTACAGCTGATCAATGAAAAATAATGGCACAGTGCCTCTCTGTCCCTTGGGATGGAGGTCATCAGTGGTGGAAGAAGTACAGAGAACCTTTATTTCACAGAAAGAAGCACTACAACAGTGTAAACATACTTGAGCGTAGGTAAAAGTCCTTCATTCAAAATCCTACTTAAGCAAAAATATAGTTGTATAATTGGAAAAAATGTGCTGAAGCTACTGCTTCTGCAGAAAAAATAACCTGCGACTGCCACATGATTAAATTGTTACTACTGATGCCTCATTGGGTTAGCAGCATTTTGCTGTTAGTTGGTCAAGTAGGGGGAAGATTTATTACTTTCAGGGTAGTTAAATCATGGTCAAAGGGTCACAAGGTGATTAAAGTGTAGGAAAGAGGGGGGAAAAAACAAATTTCTGCCATACAAACCTGCTAGTATCTTTTCTAATGATGTCACATATTTATTTTTGTTCCGAAATATTAAAGAGTTTAGCGTTTTGAGCCTTGTTTAAGATTAGCTACTTAAATGAAACCATCTGAAATAGATTTGAAATGTGACAAAAACAAAACAAGTGGACTGCTTTTTTTGTCACAAGCCAAAAAGATCAGGACTCACTGTTTTCATTTTTCAGCAGTGCCTTGAATTCTATAAGCTTATCTAATAGTTTGAATGCAAAAAACATAATGTGGCTAAAACTGTCAGATAAATGTAACTGATCAAAAACTATTACATTTCCATCTGACATAGGACTAAAATGGACGTTAAAAAGGACAAATCGTACTCTTTTGAGTAAATGCACTTTCAAACCCAGGACGTCAGAGAGAAATAATAATGTTAGCACAAAGAGGGATGCTGAAAAGTGGATGTCATGCTGGGGTGAACAAAGGGTTAATGTGCTGTGAAACTACAGAGTGTGATGTCACACTTCAAGGTGAGATTTAGTGGCGGAGCACCTGCCAAAGGTCAAGTGCAGCACAGTGTGTGTGTGTGTGTTTGGGGGGGATGTGATTCTGCATATCTTATTAAAATCATTCCAGGTTATTTCAGCTTTATTCGATAGTCGGCAGCATATGAGAGAGAGATCATGTCGGGAAGGAAGAGATAGATGGCAAAGTGAATGTGAGTCAGATCCATAGTGGACCTCAGCTTAGCCACAGCTACAAAGCAGGGTCTTTCAAGCATTGTAATTCCCATATAAAGGCCTGTTAATGCAAGGTGAGAGTAGATTTCTGTTCATTGTGATCGCAGAATACCCTCTGTTCATTTAAAGAGCCTCAGCAAATGAAAACTGAAAACACCATCTCCTCGTGGCCTCTGAGCTGAATGAAAGCCTGCATCACGGTCCATGTCAGGTCTCCTTCTCTTCCTTAACCATGTCTACTCAGTTGCTCTCTATAAATACATAAGGTGCTGTTTCCAAGGTAACAACTCTATGGAGAATTGGCCACCTGAATTTCAGATGGAGCGGAAAAGGAGGGTGAACAGTGGTCTGTCGGCTCGGCGACCGTCAGGAATACACCCTCATCTTCAGCGCTGATGTCCTGCAGTGAACGTCAGCCTTCATCAGTCCACAGCCGCGCTACGAGCTCTGCACCTCGGGCATGTGACAGCTCGGCTTGTCTAGAAATGATTTCCTTGAAGGTCAGGATGGTGTTTGATGTCTGATCTGAGGCCAGGATGATTATTTTACTCCCAATTTCACTTCTCTATACTGCATATAATATAATGTCCAGCTCATTAGTGTGATTATTGCACGTAACGACGGCAACAATTTGAATCGGCATTTATAAATGAACATTTTTTAAAAATAAAGGTCTAATGTCTTTCAACTCGAGATGTTCATATCAGTCTGATGTCAAGGTGAATGTAACATAACTAACATTGACTATTGGAAGAATTATTGAGCGGTTTAGTGTCGTGAGTGTGCCCTCCAGTGTTGACACGGAGGAACTGCAACACTGCGTTTAATCTTAGAAACAGTTCTAACATATTTGGCATTAACCCTCATATGTAAAACTCATTATTTGTGTGTTATCATTACAGTTAACAGCAGTAGCACCAGTTCTGGCAATCACTATGATAATTAGGCTGATTTATTAGCAGTTTTTGTAGACTAATGATGCCAGCATTGACTAAATGTTGGTCTGTGAAAACAATCTTGGAGGGACAGATTTGGTTTCCGAGTCGCTTGATGGACAGCGAACTCAGTCAGGATGGTGAGACAGCAGAGTCAGCACATTTTACTGAGCAGGAAAATCTCTTTATATACGGTCTATGAAGAAAACAAGATTTGAAAGGCAGCTCAGATTGACACCTGCTGCATCTTTAATAATGCTGAAAATGTTAAAATGTAAATTCTAACGGGAATAAAGAAAAATGTCTTCTAAGTTGTTTTTTTTTTGTTTTTTTTAAAACATGGTTAATATTTCTAATTTTCAGTCAGAGCTGGTTTATGATCCAAAGTGCGGTTTGCCTGCAAAGTGTGACACGTAAAGGAACCCAGTTGCTTATATTCACCACTGAGGACACATCTCTCTACAAAATCAAATGTAAGTTCTCTTATTGAAAAGGGCCACCGAGGACGATGTACAATAGAGATCTCTTTATTATAGTGCATTTATCAGATGTTACAAGATGAGTTTAAAAAAGCGTAAAAGGTAATTAAGAAATACATATGCACATACCATGACATTTGTACAGAAACGATTTTGAAAATTAAAGCTTCACATCTGAACAAAAGTTGATGGAGAATGTCAAGTCGAAATACAGGATTTTATATACATTTGTATTTCTTGCTGTTTAACAGATTATGTCTCTACTAAGGAAATATAACATAAGGACAAAGAAAGCCAAAAAGATTAGTCATTCAGTTACACAACTTTCCAAAAAAAAAAAAAAATACATCTACATGTCCAGTTGTAGAAAAACAAAAAGGGAACATGAATCTCCCTTTTGAGGTCAGTGTGATATTATGACCTTAGAGTCCTCTTCAGTGAGTAAGGGATGTGTGTTGTTCAAGGTTTAATAATCATGGGAGCCTTTGGGATCAGTGGGTGTGAGTGGAAACTATTCTGTTGCTGGTTGAACATTCTTGCTTGCACATTGTAACTGTCTGCTGGTGTAGAGCAATGGGGAGGTTTATTGCGTATGAGTTCGCTGCAACGGCAGGGAGATAAACTGTTGTTTTCACACTGGCCTGTGTTGTGCAAGCTGATGAGGTTGTGCAAATGGTAGAAGTTGATGTCAATAACAATAGGGGACGCGCCCTGGCTGCACGCACACAAAACACCATAAAGCCTGAAGCACTGAGGAAGCATCTACACAGCTGATTGATACACTTCAGATTAAAATGTACCGTCTATCGCAGCGCTGACAATGTGGTCAGGAGTATGTGTGTGTACGCTGCAAAACACAAGAGCCGGCGAATCCCAAACTGAACCGAACACAATGAGCCCTTACTAAAGCCAACCAATTGGTCCCGAGAGCGTGTAACTCAAATAGGACGGCACACCTGGCACGTCAGGCTCATGCTAAAGTAAACCAGGTCATGCATGGGTTAACACTAACATTAAAAATCAAATAAAAAAACAACCAATAAAATAGAAAAACAGACCCTAACCCATGGTACTACATACAAGAGCAAATAACCCTATCAGTAAATAACAAGCTAGAGTGGGAGCAACTCTAAAATAGGGCCTCATCGTTCCAAAGGACTGGGTGTAACTAAAACCCACACAGTCCCCCCGAGGATACATACATCCACCAACGACGCAGTAGCTACACTCACACTCCTCCACATATGTAAACATGCGCTGCAACATTTATTGCCTTTTCTAGACCCAGGCATAATGGATCTTCTAATCCTGTGTGTGAAAACCACAAGATCTAATTTCAGACACAAAGCCATGAGTGGTAAATTTTACAAGTGGGACTGAACTTTAAAACTATCCAGAAATTTCAACAAATGTGGAAACTTTCTCTACAGGAATCTGAGCTGACTTGAAGATTCAAACAAAAACTGAATGTCCAATTTGATCTTTTTTGACCTTTGATGGTTAAAATCATCAAAAAAAAAATGTGAACTGCTTCAGGATGTTAGATCTCATATTTTATTTTACCAAACATGACATAGTTTACATTTTGGTTTACTGTGTGTCTCTGTAGGCTGAATAAACAGTTATCAAAAGGCCTTTATGTTACTAGCAGATGTAATAACTGAATTATTACCTTTTGGTTTTTCTTTTTGCAAATGTATCTTTAGAGATGACGCACAGCACGCAACATCTTGTGTTGTTCTTTGCTTTGTGAAAACGAGTACCTTTGGCTGTGCTGGCACTGGAGGAATGAGGTGACTTGAGAGCTAACTGTGTTCAAGGCACAGCAGGGCTGCTCCCACTTAGCTCACTCATACATGCATACATTTATTCATTCATTCAAAAATGCTCATCCAAACACATCCATACAGTACACAGATGCAGGGGAGCACTGGCCAAAGATCCAACGCTTCAAAGGAATTAGAGAAAAAGAGAGGAGAGAGACTAGGACCAGTGCTGTCTCCAAAAATGCTGCAGACTGAGCTGACAGACAGGGAGGTGGAGTGATGGATCATTTTGCATTCTTTAGCTGGCTTGAGAGCCAGTCCAGACCCTCATAGAGACCGTCTCCGCTAGTGGCGCATGTGGCCTGGATATACCAGTTACGGTGGCGCAGGGAGTGCAGGGTCAGCTTGTCTGTGATCTCAGCTGCATTCATGGCGTTTGGCAGGTCCTGAATGGGCAGAAAACACAACACCTAATTAACAAGACTAACATTCCTTGTTAGGATTTCCACAAACTGGTTTGAGGACAGATTTGTTAATCCTGGTTAAGTTATCTTAAGTAGCATTGCACTTTGAAATAAAGGTAAAGTAAGTTGAGAGTTGAAACTGTGGTCAGCATTCACATGACTAGCTAAATGCTGAACATGTGATTGTAATTGCATGACGTGTGCTGGGAGCTCTGCCAGCATGCACTGGGACAATAGATTCATGGACAAGTCTTATGAGTTTTCCTGCATTGTTACTGGTGTGTCATTATGCGTTGTCCTCCACAGTGTTTCCACTTCAACCTTTAACTGTCTGAACTCCAAAACTCACTGGTATGAAAAAACAATCAGACCATTTATTTTAGCAAGAAATCGAAAACAGAAAGAGTTGTTTAATTTTCTGATGCGAAACAACCAAATCTAAACTAAAAATTGTGATATTTCTTCTAAACAGCTTTGCCTCATTTAAATTTCTTTGCTCCTCAATGCAACCAAGAAATCATTATTAACTCCGGTGCAAAAAACTATCATGACAGAAATTCACACTCAGGGTTCAGAGGGTTAAAGTCTGTTATATATCTTCTATAACTACTTATTAAGCTGCAATATAATCAACGTGATGTTGTGTGCATGACTAGGTCGTTTTAATTCAGTTTCTAGACTTACTCCAAATTAAAACCAACCTTCATAAATACAGTCTGTGCTTTGATACAATTAACAAGTCAAAAAGAAATTACATTGAGAAATTCTCAATAAACCTACATGTTCTAGTCTAAAATTGGTTCATATGAGGCGGCTTCTTTGATCCAGTGACAGTAAGATAATGCCATTTTTTTAAGGACAATGACAAAAAAATTACCTGTTTATTGGCAAACACAAGCAGCACGGCATCCCTCAGCTCATCCTCAGCCAGCATTCGCATCAGCTCCTCCTTCGCCTCACCCACTCGCTCCCTATCGTTACTGTCCACTACAAAGATAAGGCCTGGAAATGGAAAGGAGGTGAGGTTAGTATAAACTCTTCACATGTAAAGGAGAATCCAGCCAACAATAAGCTGATGTTTGGATGACAATGTGGAAATGGTTTCTCACCTTGTGTGTTTTGGAAATAATGCCTCCAGAGTGGCCTGATCTTGTCCTGACCGCCGACATCCCACACTGTAAAACTGATGTTCTTGAATTCTACTGTCTCAACATTAAAACCTGCAGACGAGGAGGGGGAGGTTAGACAGGAGTTAAAAATGTCTAAGTTGTCACACTGCTAGCCTTCTTATCGATGCCAAGATATCAGTCCATGTGGGTGTTAAGCTGTGAAACTCTCATAAATGATGCAGGAGAAGACCTACCAATGGTGGGGATGGTGGTAACAATTTCTCCCAGTTTGAGCTTGTACAAGATGGTAGTCTTTCCAGCAGCATCCAGTCCTACCATCAGGATCCTCATCTCTTTCTTGCCAAACAGTCCTTTAAACAGGCTAGCAAAATTCCCCATCTTGGCTCACCTGCAGAAAAACACAATAATGAGTTGGCTAAACTATAACTTCAGGGTTTTGTCTGACTGCACTGTGTATCAGGCAGCGCTAAACACTACATCCTCTGGCGTATAAAGCTGAAATTACAAATCAACTAAATAATTCATATTTCTCTTTTTTTTTTTTTTTTTAAATACTGAATGTTTCCTTTTACTTCAAGTCAAGAGGTGACTTGTTTTTGTTCCCTGTATTCATCATTATGTGCATTTCAATGACTGCAAAAAGTACTTGTCACTTCCCCAACTTCCTCCTAGCCCTTCTAATGAAAAAACAGCAACAAAAAAGTTTGTCTTTCAAGCATGCAGAAGCTGTAAATCTTCCACTACCAGACACCCAGAACAAGCAGCGCTGTTCACAAACTAATGATGATGAGGAAGTGCTGAGGTAAACAAGAACCATACAAACCATTACACTCATCTTTCTGCTGCCAGAGTCTGTCCTTAAAACAAAGTAGTGCTAAATTAGCTACTTAAACAGTGTAAAATGACTACATTTAGCATGCGACTGTCAAGCTATTACTACCGCAATTATAGCCCTCTTTGACAGGGCAGAGCATGAAGCATCACTACATGTACAACCTGTGATAGTTTTACATAGGTAACTGAATTACGACTGAATAAATCAGACGAGTTATGTTGCAAAAACCAGACAGAAACCAATGTAAAATAAATATAAAAAAACACAGTACTTTAAACATCAACTCCCATCTACGAAAGAAACACGTAGAGCAGGTCATCAAGCCAGGCAGGTTGACACATAAAACTGATCAGATGAACCACAGGCGTTGGTTCCACCTGCATGACTGTCTTGAAAGGCATGACCTGAACGGAGCAGTCAGGTTAAACAGCATACTTCATGAGCAAGTGTGAGCCCAGTCACCCTTTCTTCACAAATGAAAAAAACCTAGCGCTACATCAGAACTGCCTACATGCTAGAAAACACTAAATATTCAACTTTCAAACACACTCAGCACATGAATCTTATTCTTTGCATACACGGTACAGAATTTTTGTTTACGCTCTAACAATTACCTTCATTACTAGTGAATCTATTGAGTATTTTTTCTACCATTCGATTAACCATTTGGTCGATACACCATCAGTAGACAGTAGCAACCAATTAATATTCTAAACTGACTGTTTTACCTATTTTTCCGCAAAGTACTGCCTGCTTGTATGAGAGGGATTTCAAGATTTTTGCACAGTGTTTGTTGACAACAAAGAGACAACATGTCTCTGCTTGTTTTGCTCAGCTGTCCCTTACAATGTGTGTGCAAGTAAAGACTGCAATAGAGACACGCACCAATAGGCAAAAGATAACACATTCTTCATGTTCAAAAACAGAATGCAAGAATGTGTAACAAGTGAGTCACCGTTTATGTTTTGGATAGTTAAAAAGCATCTTCTAACTAAACTACTCTGCAGCTGCAAGGGGAATAGTGATTACAATCAGAGTGCCAACTGGATTGCTGAAAATAGCAATAGTTCTCATTATGATTCATGCCAGTTACTTTAGTTCAGCTATTACCAGATAAAGAGTTTTGTGTATAGAGAGTCCAAAAAATTGTCGTTTTACTAATGATCTGTAACACAAAGATATGCAGCTAATTGTAATGCAAGAAAAGCAGGAAACATTTACAATTGAGGATTTGTAACAGGTCAATTTGGCTTGTGACTCCTGAAAGCAACAAAACACTGCATTAGGACCCCTTGTTATTAGGGTCCAAGCACCCAATGAGGGTGCGAAGACCCTATTGGAACTGCTCGGGTTTGTATTGGTTTTGTAATGCTATCAGCTCTGACTAGTTCAACCCCAAGTTTAATTATTCTTTCATTAATTTAAATATTTTTTTGAGATTTGATGATATAAACTCATCTGGAAAGTCTTAAATAAAATGGTATCATCAAATACACTCTTGAATCTTAAGTTAAAAACAGAGAAAGAGGCTTTAAACCCCTGTTTAAACAACATTTAAACCTGTTTTTTAACAACCACAGTTGTTGCAAGGCTGTATGCTTGGATATTGTCGGTTACACAGTAGTAGATTAGCAACAGCATCTCCTAGCCGTACTGACTTGCAGGTCATGTGCATTTTAAAAGCGCCCACAGGCCATCACACAATCACTGTGGTTAGTTATGCATGTAAAATACAGGAAAATAGACTTAATGCATAAAAGAATGCTTTGGCTCATAACTATGAGCACACAGTACGAGTAAACCATGGCTCGTTACGTGGCCAGTTTCTACTGCTGAATTGATTAGGATATAAGGGTCTGTCAGATGGGCAAGACAAGTGAAAAACATACTTTCTGTGAAGATAAGCTCTGAGTGTGAGCACCATTATGCAGTATTTCGAAATAATTTAGCAGTCACACTATGTACGTGTGACCAGCAGCTGAGGTTGATTGTATGGCAGGAAGACAGCAAACTCGACAGACACCATTCCACCGGTGTCACACCAAGAGGTCCTCAAACTACTCGTTAAATACACGTCATCATTAAAGTTAATGGAGGCTTGTTTGAGTCGATCGTGTTAACTGTAAACAGTACTAGCAAGTGAGCATGTGAAAAGTCCATCCATACACTGAACAAGGCCTTGATTTAACTAGACTGCAGAATGCACACGTGATCTCATAATCTAAATAAACTCTAGTGTTTGAAGAGAAAAAAAATCTAGCAAATACAAGAAAGAAAGTTTACTGATGACTGTAGTTCCTACTTTAAATATATCAGCAGGACTACGTTTACATGCCTCAGTCCAGAATAGACAAAAAAACAAAACAAAATGACTCAACATGAATTAGAAGTCCATTATGAAATTTAACAAGGGTGCCAGTTATACCACAGACCAAAGTGGTGCAATACTAAGGACTAATCTCACAGTGAGGTTCACAGTATGCAGATACCACTGATAACTATTTTGTAGTATATATCTGTCCATTGGTTTAACAAACACATGATGTTCAGTAACATCTGTGTGTGAGTGGCAATCAATTAATGCTGGAAATAAAATGTAAAAAATTAAAACGATAGGATTTCCTAATCCTTTCAAATTGGACAAAGATAACTATGTATTATAATGTTCTCGTTTTCATTCAGCTCTATTCTAAACCCCTTCAAGACACTTCAAGGCTGACAACTTATGATGAGTGTAACATACCAAATTATCTATCAGCTGATACAACAGGCACAAAAAAGGACCTTGTTCATATTCAAGTATATATATAGATCTCGTATTAAAAACCAGAAGAGCCTGAGGTAAACTACACATTAGTAGAAGAAAAATGAATCAAAGGGGAAGGCATTGTCCTGAAGCTTAAAGAAAGGTAGGGAAAAGACATGACTAAAACCTTGATACAGGAGAGGTTACAACATTTAACACAAATAAAAAACATAAATTGAGGTATGTGCTCGTATTTAGTAAGTCATTTAAGTTAAGACATTTTTGAAAACCTAGCCTTTGACTTTGGGAACATGTGATGAGTATTTTTCTGTATTTTTTTATTTTTATTTACTGATTAACCAATTATTCAAAAAAGGAACAGGTTAATTCAATTTAATTAAATTTAACTTAACTTTATTTATCCCCTAGGAGCAATTCAAAAGCTCATTGAGTATTTATTACAAAGACATAAAAAACCAAAACAATAATGGCAAAGTAATCGATACTTGCCAGCCAAGTTACCAAGTATTTAGGAAACTTTTTGCTCAGTTTGCCATTTTTAGGTAAATCCTAACAAACATTCTATTCTGCTAACACGCGTTGATTCATCTAAGGTTTAGCACCCAACTTTTCAGAGAATTGAGGAAGTGCTGTTATATAACTGAAAAGTATTTCTTCTGGTAAATAAGACTGACAGTTTCCTATTACTGCAAACAAGAGGTAATTATGTTCAAAGTTTTGGGTATTATGAAGGAAGTAGGAGTCTAGGATTTTATCAGGCTTGATTTAAAACTGATAAGAGTATTTCATGAAACTTTTACACCCAGTTTGTGGCCCTATTGCATTAGCATACACTTGGGAGGTAACTGTCTAACCATCTACTAAAATAGGAAGAGCTGACGCATTACCAAATTAAACCATAGATGCTAACTACTATGTAGCTAACCACATAGATAACAGAGTGGCAACTTGAGGTTAAAAGGTTAAAATCTTTTCCACAATTCAGTGGCTAAAGATTAATTAATCCAGATGGTTAGTATACTATTGGAAATATCTCCAGAATACCTGAAAATGTCTTTTTTTTTTTCTAAATCAAACATCGTGATTGATTGTCTTTTAAAGTCACCTCTAATGTAAAGTTTTTAACAGTACTACTACTCATATCAATACTGCTCATCAATCCAGGTATTTAATGGTAATCTTACCTTTTTTGTCATCGACAATTTAAACAAATTAAGAATTACAATTGCTTTATTTCCTCTCTTTTTTTTGGTTTATTTCCTCGCTTTGACTCTTAACCTTCAAATAAAACTGAATTCAGCACTTTTTTTTTGATTGTATTGTTGTTGTGCATTTTAATTAAGAAAACAGAGTACTACTTCTACAACTGAGAGAGAGGGAGGAAGATCTCTCTGCTGGGTTAGGAATGTGGGAAATGTGTCATAGGCAAATGACAAAGGGAGATGGTGAGGAGAAAATGTACGAAAGGTACCAATAATAAAGAGTATATCTATTTTTAGGAGCATATCGATAGAAGAATGTTGATAGTCCTGTCTTTAGCAGTAGGGCCCGTTTAATACCGGGTTTTGATATCCACCCATAGTCACCTCTATGACTCGAGTGAAGACTATGAATAAGAAATTACACCTACAAACTGATATGATGATGCTATAAGAAATTAAACAAAACTGCCTACAGTGATGACGCTGTTAAGCTCTATCAGCTGACTATTGCTAACTGCTTGGTTTAATGTTGTCTTGAATGCTGTTTGAGTGATACAGTTGAGCTCTGGTTAGCAAGTAGTTGGAAAGCTCACTTATTTTCTTTCAGGTCTGTAGGAGAGAAGCTGACTAGTCTTAACGTTGAGTGACAGCTCGGTTACGTTAGCTTGCTAGCTCAGGCATCCTTCAGGAATCAACTCCATTCTAATACTCGCAATGAAAAAAGTCAATCCTCACAAACAATAACGGTTACACTTGTTTTCTGAATATAGTCAAAATGGGGTTTGTGTTTAGCATGCAAATGTACAGAAAGGAACTTCGTAAGCAAAGACAGTCGTGCTAAAGTTGAACTGCTAAGGAAACAGCTAATGAACTTTATAGTATCCGGCTTCAAGCTTCAGCAGCTTAAAACCAGCAGTAACACCGGAGACGATAACAGGTTCTCTATCATCGTATGAATGAAAATTACATCCCAGAAACACATAGGTTTAATATTTCTGAATAACATTTTTACCTTGACTAACGCTTCTCGATCCTTCTCAGTCGGTCCTGTCCAACAACAAAATGGCGTTTTCCGGCGTCGTCGTCGTCGTATTCTTCTTCTTCGTCATCATCCCCCGCGTCATCTTCTTCTCCTGTTTTAATGGAAGCTGCAGCTGTCGAGACGATACGTCAGCGCCACCAACTGGTGTGGAGGGTGAACACAATTTTGAGTTTACGAATTCAATATGATTGTAATCAGTAAAGTACTTATTTAATGCAGGAAATAAAGAAATAATATTTCCACACCCTTGCCTAATACTTGCAGATAATAACTTCTATTTTTTTATTATTTTGCTACAAGCAACATAAACACATTATAAATTTATGTCTTTTAATTTATTTATTTTTAGTTCTCTTTTGAACTTGAGTTCCTATAATTTGAGCTATTCTGACCTGTAGTGATCAGCCAAATGAACGAACAGCTGAGAGCTCAAGTCACATACGTTATTAGAGACTCTTTGTTTGGTATAATTTGAGTAAACAGACATGGTGGAAACTTGCTCAGTACCTTTGTTAAAAACAAGTTCTGGTTATTTCTTGTCATAAAAATCCAAATAATCCTAACAAAAAAAAATAAAAAATCGTACTGAATTCAGTCTCTACATCTGTAGATTTATAGTTGTAATCGGGAGCAGCTTCACATTGACTCTGGTAAGCTGCTTCAGCAGCTGCTCAGTGTTTTCAGTGTTAAATAAAGAAGAAACTCTTTAACTTAGACAGTTTTAAAAGAAAAACAAGTCTGTTTTAGACATTTTCTATCTAACTAAATCATTCAACTTTACATATGATTCTTATTTAACTTGTTGCATAAGTTGAGTTAATTTAACTCAGCCAGTGCTCCACTTTCACAACTTGACTCAACTTCACAAGACTGTGAATTCATAATTCAAGCGCAGTTAACTCACATTTGTAAGGCAGCAGGTGAACTTGCACTTGCAAGCGTAATAAATTGAAATGATTTACAGTGCAGGAAGAGAAAGAGGGAGCCTTGGGCCTTTTTTCTAAATTTCTACATTACTAGTGTGTCACAGTGTGTGGAACGACCAATCCAATGGCTTACAATAAAATCTGATTCAGATCATAAACAGGTGAGAAACTTACTGTATTGTTCCAGAGAACATGCGTTATAAAGAATAGTTTGACAATCTACTCCCCTTAAAGGTATGAGCACATAAAAGTCAATATAGCATTTCTTTCTGCTGTTTTTAGTCTGTGAAAANCAATATAGCATTTCTTTCTGCTGTTTTTAGTCTGTGAAAATGTCATGCTTGACTCATTTTTATGACTGTGAAATGACATATACAGTTGAAACCGAAGTTTCCATACATTTCCTTAGTATTTGGTAGCATTGCCTTTGAACTGTATGATTTGGGTCAAACGTTTTGAGTTCCCTTCCACAAGCTTCTCACGATAGTTTGACAGAATTCTGGCCCATTCCTCCTGACAGAATTGATGTAACTGAGTGAGGTATGTAGACTGCCTTGCTCCACACGCCTTTTCAGCTCTGTCCGCAAATTTCCTACAGGATTGAGATCAAGGCTTTGTGATGGCCACTCCAAAACATTGACTTTGTTGTCCTGAAGTCACTTTGTAACTAATCTGGTGGTATGCTTCAGGTCGTTGTCCATTTGAAGACCCATTTGTGCCCAAGCTTCAACTTCCTGGCTGATGTTGCTTCAATATTTCCATATAATGATCTTTCCTCATGATGCCATCTATTTTGTGAAGTGCACCAGTCCCTCCTGCAGTAAAACATCCCCACAACATGATGCTGCCACCCCCGTACTTCACAGTTGGGATGCCGTTCTCAGGCTTGCAAGCTTCCAACTTTTTCCTCCAAATGTAACGATGGACATTATGGCCAAACACTTCAATTTTAGTTTCATCAGACCACAGGACATGTCTCCAAAAATGAAGGTCTTTGTCCCTGTGTGCATTTGCAAACTGTAATCTGGCTTTTTATTGTTGCTTTTGGAGTAATGACTTCTTCCTCTCTGAGTAGCCCTTCAGCTCATGTCAGTACAGGACTCGTTAATAATAATGACACTCTCTGACCAGCTTCAGCAGCATCTTCACAGGTCTTTTGCTTTTGTTCTGGGGTTGATACACACATTTCACACCAAAACACTTCATCTCTGGGACACAGAACCCATCTCGTTCCAGAGCGGTACAATGGCTGGACATTCCCATCGTGTTTATACTTGCGTATTATTGTTTGAACAGATAAACGTGGAATCTTCAGACATCTGGAAATTGTACCCAAGGATGAACCAGACTTGTGAAGGTCCATAGTTCTCTTCCTGATATCTTGGCTGATTTCTTTTGTTTTTCTTGTTTTACAAAAGAAAGCAGTGTGTTTGAGGTGTGCCTCCAATTAACTCAAATGTTGTCAATTAACCTATCAAAAGCTTCCAAAGCCATGACATCATCATCTGGGTTTCCCAAACAGTTTGAAGGCATAGTAACCTTAGTGTATGTAAACTTCTGACTTTGAAGAAAGTAATAAAAAATTCTATCAAAAGTTATCTCTCTCATTATTCTGGTATTTAGCTAACAGACATAATTTTGTTAATCCTAACTGACCGAAAACAGGAAAAGTTTAGTCTTATTTAATGTCAGACAGTGAGAAAAAAGAAGGGTTATGTGTCTTTCTATACAGTGAATGTAGACTTCTGGTTTCAACTACAGATTAAATTTTCCAAAAATTATTTATAGTGATTACCAAGAAGTTGTACCAACTCGAATATGAAGTGCTTCATGGGTACTTCACTGTTCAGAATAACTACACTGATCTAAACCATCTCTCATCTGGATTTTGGTGAATGGACAGATATTGTTAAGAGAGATTTCAGTAAGAACATCAAACTGATGCTGTAAATAACAGGTTGAACAAATAAAATATAGAAGGATATGGCACAAGTGTCTGTGGGGGAAGAATTGAGGTCCTTGTCTTTGCTCAAGGTATGTTACAGCTCTAATTGTGATATGAGGGCATGCTGACTGAGGAATGCTTTTGGCAAAGAATGATACTACCCATTGTGGCCAGTATCATGCTATATGTACAACTCCATGTTGTCAGGCCGTTTAAGTATTCTAACATGTGATGAACAATGAGTTTTTTCAATTACTTTTAGTCCAAGAAATGATTGTTAAGCTGTTTGAAAACAAAACCTTCACTTTGACTTCTTATGACAACACCAAGCTACATATTTGAGATAAAAAGCATTTAAGTTGTTATATTTTCTAATGAAATTTGAGTGAATTCTGATATGAATGGCCTGATATTATCAGTTTATGTAAAGTATAAGGTATTTGTCCCAGATTTAATCTCTGTATTAAATCCACTAGATGGGGCTCCATCCATGGTTGTTTTGTTTTCGGACTGTAGTTCGAAAGAAGACAGAGTTTGATTGGAAGAACAGGCTATAGAGTCTGTTTCTGTCCTTTAATTTCAGACTTCACGGATCACTTACATCTCATCCACATTGGCTTTCTGAAATCCTTTACTGCTGTTCTTTAATTTGTTTGCAGGACTGGTTATTCCTTGCAACCTTATAGCAATGATTATAAAGTAATAACTTACATGACAAAAATAGGGGAATTCTGCCCTTGCTTTCTGATCTCCATGGCCATAGATGTTTGCTGTTATTAGAGGTTAAACCTAGTGGAGCTTCAGACATTGATTTTGAAGAAACACCATGCAGCTACCAATGAAGAGCAGTTTGAGCATAAAGAAAAAACGTGTAAAAAAACAAAAAATAAATAAATAAAATGACTGGTTTAGGTGTTTGGAGTTTAGAAATACAGATATGAAACACTATGCAAACGCAATGTTTTCAATGTCAAATGTCTCTGTCCATCAAAAAAAATATGTGAGATTGTGATTCCTGTGCGTAAATATATGGAGGGAGACGTGAATCTGTTTGTGGCACTCAGGTGCATTCGAGGTTTCCATATCACAGCAGATAAGCGCAGTGGTTTTGCAGCACCGTCCACCTGGGTGGCGTGAAAGTGGGTGGGAACATACAGTAACAATATTGAGTGAATCCAATGAGGGTGCGGCAAGATGATGCTTCCTCCCCCCCCAAAAGAGCCCTGCCTCCCAGCGGACACCACTGGGCCTGGCGCACGGGATTGAAAGTCTGAGTGCATGTGGTGTCCCTTAAAGAGAAGTGCCGACCAGACGGCACAGACTTTTCTCCATTGAAGAATCAGCGAGATGAAGAACAGCGCCAACCCGGCACCATGCGCTCCAGGCTCCCAAGGACCGCCTGCCTATTGCGAATCATTGCACTCTGCATCCTTCTCTCGCACACTGCAGCTTATTTTGGGTCAGACGAATAACTTTTTATTTTTATTTTAGTCAGTTGCATTGGTGGATTGACTTTGTAGTTTTTATCCTTTGATTAGGTCATAACCACAAACTTTCCAAGCTTTTGCCAAATTACGCACGCGTAATTGCGCAAGAACCATTCAACTAAACTGTTACTGTGTTGTTTTGTTAATAAACATGCTTTTTTGTTGCACTAAAATGCAGCATCACCACTGGCATTTTAATGTGTAGTTTAACGAAAGTAATATTAAAGATAAGGCAGTTTAGACGCGTTTTTGCCCAGATTGACAGTTGTTGTTTTTCTGCATATCCTAACAGTTGTACTTCTGGACATCAAACTTAAACAATGCTCAGTTTTCTAGTTTGAGAGGAGACTGAAAGTAGAAACAGAATTGGCCGGTCATACTTATTAATAATAATATTAAAATAATGAATAATAATAGTGAGACAATAATTACTGGAAAATATTCCGCTATTGCAATAAAGACACAGTTATGTTTTATATTTATTTTGTCTTAGACTTACATTTTTCTAACGTGTTTTCTTGTCTTCCATTTCCAGGCTGACAGGTCGGGAACCCTTGGTGTTTTTACCAGGACCATTTTCCAATGAAGCTCCGACAGGAAAGGCCCACTTGAAGCAGTGCGAGCAGATGACTCTGACCAGGCGGCAGAAGAGACTGTGCCGCAGGGAGCCTGGTTTGGCCGAGACGCTTCGGGA